ATCTCATCTTACTTCTCTATCAGAATCCATCAAATCAAAACCATGTCTTTGTTCAAGAACAGAGAGGACAAACATCTTATGAATCATCTTGCAGTGATTTATCATCATTATTAAAGAACAGATGATTCATTTCTGTACATATAAGCAAATCCTATAGTTTATGATCGCTTTGAAGTGTTTAACATTAGAAATACAAGAGAAATATGGTTAAAATGTTATGTAATGAAAATTTATGTTTTAATTTGTTACAAAATAGAGAAATGGTGTGAAAATATGAAAATGTAAACGTTTAAGGGTTTAACTGTTAAAAACATGACGACAAAACAAAAAAATTGTTAAAACAAACAATTGGGGTGAAAATATTACAAAGCGAAAGTTGGGGTTTAACTTACTAGAATGAGAGATTTGGGATGGAAATATTAAAAAGTCAAAGTGTAAGGTTTAACTTGTTAAAAACAGAGAAATGGGTGCAAAATATATATAAAGTAAAAGTTTGGGCGTTAAAATGGTAAATTATTAACAAAACGAGGGACTGATAAATGAAAAAGTAAACTATGACAAAACCGGAACTGAAATTCTTCTGCAGCGCCGGAAAATCTTCGTCTTTGAGGGCAAAGCAGAAACAAGAAGTATGAATCTTTACGACGATGAATCTCTGAAGCAGGAAGTAATCTACCTTCACTCTCTATGGCACCAAGGTCCACCGACCCGGAATCCAATCCCTAGCCCGAATTTCTACCCAATTCACGACCCGGTTCAAAGATCCAGGCCGAATTACATCCCACCGGCGGATTTGCATCTCCTCTCTCGCTATGGTGCCGTTCGTCCTCAGATCATACCCAGAAACCCTAACCATCCTCAAATTCTCTACAATAACAAGCGCCCAAGACCCGATTCAGGTCGAGAATGGCCCGTGAAGGAACTCCTTCTTTCTCCTCCTACGGGATCTGGATGGCCTGAATTCAAGCCGTGTAAGAAGGCGAGACCTGCTTCGGAGGAGGAAAAGGAGAAATTCGCTGTGAATAAGCTTCAGAAAGATATCCATCGCACCTGTCGTGAGTTCTTCGGCAAAAAATCCGGCGAAGAAGATAGCTCCGTCGCCGGAGGAGATGGGTCGGGGTCGGATAGTGATGATGAAGATGAAGATCAGTCTTTAGAAAAAGAAGGATCTTCTTCTAAAGAGTTTCAGTTTTTGTCGAGAATGTTTGAAGAGAACGAGAAGCTGAAGGAATACTATGTGAAGAATTCTGGGAATGGAGAGTTCTGGTGTTTGGTTTGTGGTGGCACTGGAGAGAAAAGTGTTCGGAAATTCAAGAGCTGTTTGGCTTTAGCTCAGCATTCACTTGCTATTCATAAGACGGATTTGAAAATTCAACATAGAGCTCTTGCACAGGTTGTTTGCAATGTTCTTGGTTGGGATGTTAACAATCCAGTTGCTTCAAGCCAAAAGGACACTCAGGTTTGATTTATTACTTTTTAAAAAAATTGGAATTCGTATGTAGATCGATACATTGAATGAAGTTAGCATTGCAATTCAAAAAAGATGATTGATTTGCTTGTGTGAATCCAGTTAAAGATCTGATCAGTGACTAGTTTATTATGTTTTTGAAAGGAAAAGTTTTTATCTGACCATGATGATGAAAGATGAATTTGCTGGTTCATTATGATCCTTTTGTTGTATTTTTGAATTGGTTTGGTCATCTAGAAATACTTGAGCTCTTTTTGATGTTGTTGTTTTTGTTTATTTAAATGGTTAACAGACAATGGGTGAGGCGGTTGTGGAATGCGCACCTGAGCTGCCTTCAGACTTAAAGAAGCCTCAGGAGAAACAACAGGACATGTCTGTTAAGGAACAAGCAAAGGCTGCAGTGATACAAATGCAACAGAATGGATCAGAAGCTTTGAAAGGCATCTTTGCCAAGGATACTGCTGATTCAGCTGACAAAATCAAGGAGAATGGTGATGAGAATTTGTCCGAGGAATTGGAGGTAATATCTCGACTCTTCTCAGAGAACGTTGAGCTCAAGGGTTACTATGAGAAAAACTTTGAAGGTGGAGATTTTATCTGTCTGGTGTGTTGTTCCGCGACTGAGAAGAAAATGATAAAGAGATTCAAACACTGTCATGGGCTTGTTCAGCATTGTACTAAAGTACCGAAAATGAAAAAACGAGCTCACAAGGCTTTTGCTCGGTTTCTCTGTGAACTACTTGGCTGGGATATTGATAGTCTTCCACGTAGAGTGGTGAAAGAAGGTGCTCCTCTTGTCGAATCTAATGCTGACCAGATCAGTGAGAAGCCATCAGCCGTTATCGAGGTAAGAAACTATACCAAGAGAACAAGAAGTCTCTCTTTTCCTTTTCTTTAACCATTGAATTGTATATCATTTCAGGATCATATGTGCGAAGATAAAGCTGATAAGCCACAGGACAACAATGAGACATGCGTTGGTTAGTAGATAATATGTATACATCGTACTAGATCACGCCTAATCATTGCCTGAACCTGTGATTTATGTTTTTGTTTACGCAGAGGCATGATCAAATAACATATTGTTCTCATCTGGAAATTCAACTCAAGAGTCGAGATAAAACGAAGTTATATTAATGGAAGCCACTAAATATTCAGGTACGATTTCGGCATCTCATCAAACTTCTTATGGCTTGCCAGACTTGGTTTGGAGTCATCAAAGACAATGTTTATACACATCTTTTGATTCTGAATTTTGATAAATGAAGAATACTCTCTTCTTTTCTCACTGAGAAATTTGGAGTATTCTAACCAACATTCCCATTTTAAAACTTTAGAGATGATAATAATGTTGTAAGACATTGATTAAATTGTTTTTATTTATATATAAAACACTAGATTATGAAACAGAATTTATACATTTTCACGATTATAAATTGCATCATCTTCATTGACTTGCGACGGCCATTAGGGGGGTATTTTTCCGATACCAAATATCGGAAAGTATGTTACTTATTGATATATAGCAAAAGAGCTGGGCAGTTTTGGAATAAAAAAGATATGGTGTAGTAATGAAAATACCAAAAGCTATATGCATTTTTGTAAATACACAAAGAGCTGAGGAAAGATTTTAATTATCAAAAGCTCGGCGTGTTTTGTAAATACCAAAAGATCTGGGACAATTTTGAAGATACCAATAGATTGAACATTTGTATAAATTATCAAAAACGGTGGACGTTTTGGAAATTCCAAAACATCTAGAGCTGTTTCGGGTAAATATGCAACAAAAAATTAAATAATTGCTGTATATTTAAAAAAAATTAACATCCTGTTGGGCTTCTCTGGGCCGGCTAGTTGGGGATCGACTAACCCAAATCGTCCATAATTTTCAGGAAAACGCAAACACAAAAAAACATAGCCAGTGAGTCTGCAAAATCAGATCAAAATGGGGAGAAAAGAAGATTCAAAGATGAACATCGCCATTATTCATCCAGATCTTGGAATAGGTACGTTCTTCATCAAGCTTTCTCGATTTTATTTTCCAGGATTAGCCTTCTTCCGCTCGTATCGTTCGTCCTTCTCCTGGGATCTATCTTGCGTTGAATTGGCAATTTTCCTTGTGTTTTTGGTGGTTTATGCAGGTGGAGCAGAGAGATTGATCGTCGATGCGGCGGTTGAGCTTGTGTCTCACGGACATAAAGTTCATGTCTTCACTTCTCACCACGACAAATCTCGATGCTTCGAGGAAACTCTTTCCGGTGAGTCACGATTAAGCTTGATTCCCATTTGGTTCCTAAATTCGAAGATTTCCCCAATTAGTTTTAGTGTAAGCGTTATACAATCTTGGTTTGAGATTTATAGTTTATGTCTTAACAACTATCCAGGCATATTTCAAGTTACGGTGTATGGTTCATTCTTGCCACGGCATATTTTCTATCGTCTACACGCAGTGTGTGCATATTTGAGGTGCTTGTTTGTTGCTCTTTGTGTTCTTTTGGGATGGTCTTCGTTCGATGTTATACTAGCAGACCAGGTTTCAGTCGTAGTCCCATTGTTGAAACTCAAAAAGTCGTCAAAGGTATTCAAAACTCTGCTTTAACTCAATCATATCTTGTGATCAGTTTATACAATATAGCTTAATCTTGAACATATTTGGATCTAGGTTGTTTTCTACTGCCATTTCCCGGATCTCTTGTTAGCTAAGCATACAACTGCACTTAGGAGGATGTATCGGAAACCAATTGACTTTATCGAAGAACAAACTACAGGTTTGGTTTCATTCATTAACAATGCAGCCCTTGGTTCGCTACCTCTGTTTTCATTTCCTCTTACTTCCATCCATCTGAAACCAGTTGTTCTTGTATCATTTGCGGGTGTGCAGGAATGGCTGATATGATCCTTGTTAACAGTAACTTCACAGCATCAACATTCGCAAAAACATTTAAGCGTCTTCATGCAAAAGGAAGTCGCCCAGCTGTTCTTTACCCAGCAGTCAATATCGATCAGTTCAATGAACCGCATGCGTATAAGTATTGTATATCCCTGAACTCCAAATTTCCAGGATAGAAAATCAAGCTCTCACATTACAAACAAATATTTATATGCCGGTTTCTATAGGCTCTTCTCTTTTCCTTGGTCTCGAGCAGGTTGAATTTCCTCTCCATAAACCGTTTTGAGAGGAAAAAGAACATTGATCTAGCCGTGTCTGCTTTTGCTATTCTATGCAAACATAAGCAAAATCTGAGTGATATTACCCTTACTGTTGCAGGCAAGTGTACTATATTATTCCTTTTTTTTTTCATAATCTTTGTTGAATGAAGATTTACTGCTTGCATTCTAAGAAAATTCCGTTGTTCAGGTGGATATGACGAACGATTGAAAGAGAATGTAGAGTACTTGGAGGAGCTCAGAAGCTTAGCCGAGAAAGAAGGAGTTTCTGATCGAGTAAAGTTCATCACATCTTGTTCAACCGCAGAAAGAAACAAACTTCTCTCAAGCTGCTTGTGCGTTCTCTACACACCAACGGTAAAGCCACTATCTATTTTCTAACGTACTCCCTCCAAGTTTCAATCTCATCTCACTCATGGTCCATCTCGAATTGCTAGGATGAACATTTTGGTATTGTTCCATTAGAAGCAATGGCTGCATACAAACCCGTAATAGCCTGCAACAGCGGTGGCCCCGTGGAGACAGTAAAGAACGGAGTAACAGGCTATCTCTGTGAACCGACTCCAGAAGAATTCAGTTCAGCGATGGCTAAATTCATCGAGAATCCCGAGTTGGGGAATAGAATGGGAACTGAAGCGAGGAAACATGTCGTTGAATCATTCTCTGTGAAGACGTTTGGACAGAAGTTGAATCAGTATCTCGTTGATGTAGTATCAAGTCCTAAAGAAGATTGAGATTCCTCTGTTTAATAATCATACATCTTTCTTTATACAGCATACTTTAGGCTTAGGTCTGAAACTAACAAGAGCTTTTTTGTTGGATCAATCATCTTGAACTTTAAGTCTGGTTGAAATTTAAGTTTTGGTTTGGTTTGACAATAAATTTGGCGAAATCAAATCGAACCAGTAAATCTCTAAACTCGGATAGAACCGAGTAAGACTCAGATATGGGTTACAAAAAGCTGGGCTTTATGGGCTGAATATTACTGGGCCGGTCTTACTCCTCCATATTGCAAATTTACTGAAAACGCCGTCGTTTGGATGCATAGGTTTTTTCCCCCTTAAATCTGCCCTCGAGTTTTCTTCATCGTCTTTCTAATTCCATTTCTCTTCTCCGTCGGAGCTCGCTTTCGTCGCCGTTCCTCGCCGTCTCACTGTAAATCTCTGCCTTCGTTGTATCGAAATCTTAAGGTATATAATTTTTTTTGTCTTTGTGATTTTCCAATTTAGAAAACGGTTTCCTCTCAGATGTCTGACTTTGGATGTAATGGTAGTGATTTCCATGATTCTAGTTTTTTGAAAAACGATTTCTCTCAGTTTTTATCGGTCTCCGTTTTGATTTTTGCACCAGGAAGCTTCTTTACATGCGCGAAACGACATGGACGCGAACAATACCTTCGATTCTGTAATATCTCCTCTCGCGCCTTCATTCTCCTTGGGGTGTTTTATTGTCTACATTCGATGATTTTCTATGTACTTACCTTCGATTTCCATGGAATAAGGATCTGATTCACGCCATTTTCAAGCACATTTGGGCCCGAAGATTTCGCGGTACCAATCTATGTTTCTTCCGAGTAACTTATATCCGCTTATGTTGAATCTTCTCTGGTTTTGATTTATCGGCGACTTTTTTTTTTGATTGCGATGCAGAAAGGGAGAGAAGCGATGCCATTGATGCTACGGAAGCTGAGGTATTCTATTCCAATTCCTCGGTTTTTCGAATTTTCACAAATTACAGTTCTTCTCTAGATTTATACTGTAATTCGTTCACTAGATACTGGTGTTTGAGGTTGGTTCTGTAACAGCTATGATCTTCTGATTTCTGAGATTCTAGATATGTTCAAATGGTGATGAAGATACCATTTGTAATGCTAAATCATGCATTACATTTACTTCAGGTTGCTCTGGGAACATCTAAGAAGAATAGGCTTGCTTCTGGTTTGTATATGCATTGTTCACTTACTTTTGTATGATTCTCGATGAATACTTATGGTGTTTGGTTCTTGTAGCCAATGCAAATGCTCTGAAACTCAGCTGTGAGCTGCTCAAGAGTTTTGTCTCAGGTCAAGTATCCATGTTTGGGTTTTGGAAACTACTCGAGTTTCTCGGTTAGTCATGTTGTAACTTGTAAGTAACTGAAGAGTTTTATTTTTATCGCATTGGCAGAGGCTGTGCAGCGTGCCGCTATAATCGCTGAAGCTGAGGGAATGGACAAAATTGAAGCTACTCATTTAGAGAGGATTCTTCCACAACTTCTTTTAGATTTTTGAGGTATGATTGAGAACAATTGACTGTTACATATCTGAAGATTAACAGTGATTTCATGCAAGGTTTTTCTGAAGATCATTCAACTAGTTTATCTCTGTTTGCTCTTTCGCATGGGATATGTTATAATGTGGTTATATATAGTTCATGTAAATAACACAATCAAAATGCCATGTTTTATTCGGTTACTGTTTATGAAAATTTCCTTTATCTAATAAGGAAACATCCTCTTCCCCAAACTTTTTGAGTTAATCAATTTCAGATGAAAAAAGGAAATATCCAAATACGTTAAAGAAAAGGAAATATCCGAATGTTAGTAACTTCCGACGCATGGAATTGATCAAGCAACTATAAATAGAAAACAACGATCACACTTATTCACACAAATCATAAATACCTTAAGGCAGTTTGAGTAACAGATAAGAGTACGATAATGGTTGACATCGACCTATTTCGAGAAAATCCGGAGATAATCCGAGCATCGCAGCGACGGAGATTCGCAAGCGTTGATCTCGTTGATGAGATAATTAAGCTTGACAAAGAATGGCGTCAAGGTACATATTCTTTCTTTCGCTTCGCATTGTTTCTCTCCTGAGAACAAATTGAGCTTTAATTGATGGTATCAAATCTCTGTGTTTTTTTAGGTAAATATGAATCAGATGGTATCCGAAAAGACTTCAACAAGCTAAACAAGGAAGTGGCCAAGCTCAAAACTGTTAG